ACACATTTGTCATGTTCTGTGTTCCACTAAGTTATAAGGCTCTCATGAAGCCACAGAATACATGTCCAGAGCAATGCTGCTGACTCAGTGGGTGAGATGAGACGAGTCAAGACCCTGCAGCTTCTGATTTGAAAACAACAGACAACTGATCTGAACTGGGGTGTTTCCGGAATGTGACCCAAGCTTTCAGCCTATTCTAGGGATATACTAGACTTGGTAAGTGGAAGGACGCAGGCCAGATCCATCAAAAAATGTTTTACAATGGAGGGCAACCAGGAGTTGAGAACCCCTATGATACAATTCCTTTAGACTCCTTGTTACTTGAATTGAGGTGACTGTTAGTGGCACCAAGCAATGAAAATTTTTTCCCCTAGTATTTTCAAAATCTGTAGCTTCTCCTGTAGCCAATACCTGAAGGTATCTAGTCAATGCATTAAATATCCTGTTAACATTGATAAGCACCATTATTTCTAGTTACCAAATGCATATACGAAGACATTCTTGTTCAAGAAAGCATCGGTATTTTTGCTACTATTAAACAATTAACACGGAATGAGCCATCTGCACTCTTGGTGTTTTAAGCGTTTTTCTAAATTATCATTTTGGTTATTACTACTCTCTAAGATTTTTTACTCTTTTAGTATTTCTGTTAACTAGAAAATGATCCCAGATGGGAGATCCATAGGTTTTTGGCCAAAAAAGAATTTTTTAAAAACGTTTATAACTGTACAATGGACCAAAGTGCAGGAGAAAATGACTAGTATAACAACACCACACATGTGCACAGTTTGAACATATTTTAGGGGAGAAACGTTCCACGCGATAAACACAACACCTTCATTTTGAGCCCAACTTTCTGCTTGAATAACATCCAAGATTTGGCATAAGTTGTCATGGGCAAACTTATAGACAATTCAGAATCATTTGGAGAGATGACGGCTACACACCGTATCGAACTTTCAAAACACAGTAAGTAGACTGAGCTCAGCAGTACACAAAGCACTGAGAGTTTCTGGAATAAACACAGGGGAATCAGTGGGAGAGACAGAACAAGGAGACTGAAGATTACAAAATTCAGTCACATTTCAAAATTTTCTGCTACAATAATTCACTTTATGTAGAATTAATGTGTCTGATTGAACGTTTGTGCTGTAATTTACTTATAATTAACATTTTATGGTGAACAGATTTCACCACCTCCTTCATGCTGTGAACTCTAAGCCATAGGTCAAAAATAGAGATGAAACAGATAAGCACAAAATATTCTCACTGAAATATTAATGAGATTTTAATTTACTGCTTTAAAAACACATCTTTCATCAACGTCTGTATATAAAAATCACCATTTTATTTTAATTTTTTAATCACATTAAAAATATAATGAACTCTTCTAGCTGGCAGAAAGACACTAAAAAAATCTGATGCAGGCAGGCAGGCAGTCCTAGGTAGTTAAACGATTTTCCATCTTGTTCAGGAGCCAAAAATATTGTCTCATGAAGAGGTAATGATTGAGTCCAACTCAGCCAAGAATCTCTTCTCAATTAATCAATGCATTTTGAGAGGGAAGAATTTCTGGCAAATATACTGACTCTAGGAAAACCATTCCTACTCCCAAACTAAGCCATTTGTGAAGACCAAAATCTAAGTGGGCCTTCCATTTGTTGGATTTACTTACCTTAAGGGAGAGGCTCACACCTGTCTAAAGTTTCATGGTAGAACATCGGGATTTCAAATGAAGCGAGGAAATGGGACCAAGAAATTTTCATTCAGTACTGAAGTTATTAGAAAGTGCTGCCTCCCAACCAGTGGTTACCATTTCTATTAATGCACCAGATATTAAGTCACTAAGTCTCTTATTACCCCTTCTTTAAGACTTGGCCCAAATATCTCTTTCTCAAAGAGGTCACCTTCGGTCCACTTTGCTGCAGGCAGCGATCATAACCAGTCCTTCCTCGTTGGTTGTATTGACCATGAGATATGTATGTTGTCTGTCTGTCTGTCTATTTACCTACCTACCTACCTACATATCTACCCACCCGCCCACCCACCCACTTAATGTGTGTCTTTCATGCTAAATTATAAACTCTAAGAAGACCGTCCCACATCTGAGTTACTTATCACTGTAACTGGCCATTTGTAATAGGTACAATAAATATGTCTCGACCTATTGAATTACTGGGTTGTTGGTTGGCCCTCAGGGCATGAAATCCAACCTGGTTGGTTGTTTCCAAAAAAAGCTGTCACTAGTTGCTTCCCCTATTCATTCTGTCATTGAGAGGTTGGGTCTACTGTTCCATTCCCCTGAATCTGAGCTGGCCTGTGACTGCTTTGTTGTAATTGGATGTGGAAGAGGTGACTGTGCCAGTTTGGGCACTGCTTTTAAGAGGACCAGCAGGTTTCTCTTCCCTCAACCTAGAACATTTGCTCTGGAGAATGTTAACTGCCTTGCGAGAAGTGTCACTACCCTGAGACTTCCATGCTGCAAGGACACTCAAGCTGGTCACCTAAAGAGACTGCATCAGAAGATAGAGTAACACTAGCTCCCATCAGCTGTTCTAGCCACCCTGGCCCAGGAGCCAGACACGCAGGTGAAGGAACTATCTCAAGCATCTCAGACAGTCCAGCCCCACAGAATCCCTATGGGAAGGCAAGTGCATTAGTCTGTTTCCATGCTGAGACTGTGTAATTTATAAAGATAAGGAGGTTTAAAGGACTCACAGTTCCACATGGCTGGGGAGGCTTCACAATCATGGCAGAAGGGGAAAGACATGTCTTACGTGGCAGCAGAAAAGAGAGAATTTGTGCAGGGAAACCCTTCTTTATAAAGCCATCAGGTCTTGTGAAACTTATTCACTATCACCAGAACAGCTCGGGAAAGACCCGCCCTTATCATCCAATTACCTCCCTCTTGGCCCCTCCCATAACACATGGGAATTGTGGGAGCTATAATTCAATATGAGATTTGGGTGGGGACATAGTCAAACCATGTCAGTGAGACTCTGGACTGAGCTGCCCATCTTGTTGCCACCCTGGGGCATCCCAGCTGATCGCTAGACATCAGGGAGCAGGGGTAAGGCATTCCCACCGCACCTACACAGATTCTTTATTATTATGCTCAGAATCCATGACCATAATAAAAATCACAGCTGTTTTATATCATTGTGTTTTGGGATGGTGTACATGGCAACAACAGATAAGAGAAACATTCTACAAGTCTACAGTATGCACCACGTCTTTGTCTCATTCTTGGGTAGCCATGACTTTTTATTCTAGAGAGAAAATCCAGACAGAACCACGTTCAACCTGAAACTCCTTTACAGATGATACAAAGATGGTAGGTTCTTTGAAGTAGACTCGACAGACTTAGTAAAACTTGTAGAAATTTTGAACCTGATGCCAATCCCAAAGGAATAAATATCTCAAGAGGAGATCGTTTGTGGTCTCTGAATTCCCTAACACAGTAATGGGACCACTCGAGCTACTAAATTCAGCAATTTTCTCATAAATTTGAATTAGGTTAGTTAGAAAAAAATGAGGCTCTGTCTCCTCACTCTCACAGCCAAATTTCTGAAAAAAACAAAACAGAACAAAGTTTACAAATGTCTCCCTTTCTTTATGTTTCTATTCATTCCCTAGCCCATTCTAAGTCTTCAAAATCACTGCTTCCTTTTCCCTGTTAGGAGGGTATCACCCCACCCCACCCCCACTGTCCACCCTGCCCAATAAAGGGTGTGAGTGGCTCAGGGAATGGGAGCCAGAACACAAACAAAAGAAAAAATATATCTTGTTTGCATAAGTCCCATTCTGTCCTTTCAGTCACAAATCTTCTATAATGTTATGCAAATATTCAAGACTTTTCCATCATTTATGGTAACAGTGCTGGGAAAGCTAGGAGATTCACGTATAAGACAGTAAAGAAAAAGAAAATCTGCAATGGAAAACTAACCTGGGCTTTGATTTATCTTTTCCAAGGTCAGACCAAATGAGAATGAAGACCTTTTATGCCAAGAACACGCTACTTATTTTTTAAACGATTTACAAATGAAACCTTGTCATGACAAACCCCAAAGCAACTCTTTTTTGAACCATCGTGATGTTGTGCGGTGTCCATCACAGATGGAGTAGCTCGTAAAATTAGACCATGACCCCTCGTAGAAACCAAGCGCTATACAGACATGGTTTTCACACCAGCCACACCTGCTTTTGGAACAAAGGTGAATGCAATCGTTCATAAAATCAGCACCTCTTATTCAAGAGGTCCAAATGCTTCCCAAGAACTTTACATTTGCATTCAAGTTTGGAAAAAGTGGAAAATGTATTGAGACAATAGAGGTCATTCATTCAGTTCATTAGGGCATCATAGGAAAATGCAAGCTAAGGAGTGAAAAATAAAGACCCAGGTGGCGAAATAAAATGGAACATACATGATGGTTCCACATTCTTCCCACCCCGTCGGTGCTTTTGCTGCCTGTCTCGACTCAAGAACATTCCATGTAAAGAAAGGTGACGCTGAAGAGAGACCCAGGACGTGCATGTGGAAGCCAGCAAAAGCTCATAATTCAATGGAGTCATTTCATTCCCTTTACTTTGTAACAAGCTCCAACCCATTCAAAGGACTTATTAGAATTTCAAATGAAAAGCTGAATACTATGAGCATTGTAAATCAGCTACAAACAGCTTTGAAAACTGTGTCAGGAGAAACACACTTGTAATTTTCTTTCTTTTTTAAAATATTGCTTTTTTTTCACCTTCAAAGCTTTGTTTGTTAAGAAGCAGTTACCAATTTATTTCTACAGAGGGAATCTGATTCTGGTTGGAGGGGGCCTGATTGGAGCGATCCTTTCACCTGGGCTGGTACACGCTCTCAGCATTAGACCGACTCGTGGCACACGCCCTACTACCCAGGTGCTGGGTGCCCCTTGACAAACCACATTGCCTTGTTTATTTTGTAGTAGTTGTTCTTCAGATTTCTTAGAACCTGAAGCAGAAATATCCCTTACCTGGGAAGAACTGCGATTCAGACTCCTCCAGTCCTGGAGACCATATGTGGTCTTTGAAAACCTCCAAACAAGAATAAGATGCTAGGAGAGCCCTCCGTCTAACGGGGCCAGCAGGCGGCAGAGTCCTCCTCAGGAGTCAGGAGCCTTGCGCCTCTTTTGCAAGGATGTCCCGCAGTCTTTCATATGTTCATTTCCCTCGGAACTCGACAGGGTCATGAGACGGGGATATTTTATACTTGTTCCTTGTTCTCCTTTTCAAGTCCCTGGAAAGAAAAGAAGAGCTTTCTCAATTTGTAAAAAACCTTAAACTGAGATTTTCAAATAGAAGAAATACCTTCCTCCCCGCTTTCTTTTTTATCTTCTTCTGTAGCACAGGAAGACCCATGTGGTCACACAGATCACCTTCCATATCACCCAAAGCAAAAAGACAAAGTATCACAGCAGCTATATGCACAGGAAAACATCCACAGCAATCGGGCTTCCTCGGTGAATGTTATTTTCTTTACACAGAACGCTTACCGCTAACGACTGTCAAAAAGACAGGACACTAATGTTCTCAGGCAAGACCACAGCCAGCGTTGGCAGAAAGAAGGTGCTACTCAAAATCACAAGCTTCTCTCTCTTCTGTTTCGGTTCTAAAGAGTAGCTACTCCAATGTCAAAATGAAAATTACAACCTCCAAATTAACAGAGTGCTGCTCCAAGGCCCAGAGAATGGGACCCAGATGTACCTTCTATAGGGATGGAAAAGATTTAATCAACCTGCACTGACTATTGATTGAACACAGAATTACTGAGCATCAACTACTGAAAACATATGCATGCCCTTTAAGGACTGATCGTTCTCTGCTGGCCTCCCCTTTAAATCTTGCATTTTATTCGGGGCAAAATACTTGAACAGCCAAGTCAGAGGGTTGCCCCATAACTCTGCTTCATCAGGGTGTAATAGAAGGGTCTGGGGCTGTTGAAAGGGAAAAACTGGAGATTACATTCAGGTGGAAGGAAATCTCCTGAGTACTTTAGTTAGAAATGGAGGTGGAACCACCACATGTAGAGGGTAGCTGAGCCTTGTGTGTCTGAGCAAACTGGGCAAACCACTCTCTTCCCTTTCCCGCACCACCTCCCTCAATCAACCAACATGACCCTCTTCCTATTTTGGATGGTTTTTATAGAGGAAACTGACAGTTTCTTCCATGAGGTAGCATCTCTCTGGAAACCATCCTGGTGGACTAAGAGGTAATGATGAGAGGCCCCCGTGAAAGAGAAAATACCGGCGTCAGGAATGGAGACCATGAGGTCTAGTCTTTCACGGCTTTTTTTCCCCATCAGTGGCAGCCCCAAAGTGCCTGGCTTTGACTGCAAAGTGTGAGCTGGAAAGTTTCCTATGCAAATCTGTAGTATTAGCAGAGGGTCTTGAATAAGCTGCTGAACCTCTCTGAACCACATTCAGACACTTACAAAATGAAAAAGTCGTCTGGGCACGGTGGCTCACTCCTATAATCCCAGCACTCTGGGATGCCGAGGCGGGTGGATCACTTGAGGCCAGGAGTTCAAGACCAGCCTGGCCAACATAGTGAAACCTCGTATCTACTAAAAATACAAAAATGAGCTGGGTGTAGTGGCACACGCCTGTATTCTGAGCTACTGGGTAGGCTGAGGCATGAGAATTGCTTGAGCCTGGGAGGCGGAGGTTGCAGCAGGCTGAGAATGCACCACTGTACTCCAGCCTGGGCGACAGAGCAAGACTCTGTCTCAAAATATAAAATAAAAATGAGAGAGTTGTACCTACTTCATGGTGATGACTCAATGAAGGAATGCATGGGGGTTCTCAGCACACAGCCTGGCTCCGAAAAGCTTGACTAGAGATCCCTTCCAACCCAACTTCCTTCCCAGAAAGACGGAGACGCTAGCTAGCTATATAAGGGGCACTTAAGCTCAGGTGTTTAAAATATTCGCCAACACTTTACAGGTGCTGGCTTCACAGAAAGGTCTCTGAACCATTTTGTCCTGCACCATCCCTCAGTAGACACCTGTTCCTGTAATGGAAGTTGGTTTTCGTTTCTGTTTCCTGGTTAGTCAACAGAATCACCTGCCTTTATATAAATTGCTCTCAAATCCCCTTCTCTATCTTGTTCTGCTTCCTTCCTCCCTCCCTTCTTTCCTTCCTTCTTCCTCCTTTTCTATACACATTTTCAGCCCCACAGTGGTTACCTGCTAAGACACCCAAGTAGAATTCCAGTTTTTCTTTTTCTTTTTTTTGAGATGGAGTCTTGCTCAATTGCCCAGGCTGGAGGACAGTGGCACAATCTTGGTTCACTGCAACCTCCGCCTCCGGGGTTTAAGTGATTCTTGTGCCTCAGCTTTCTGAGTAGCTGGGATTGCAGGTGCCTGTGACCACGTCTGGCTAATTTTTATATTTTTAGTGGAGACGGGTTTTCACCATGTTGGCTGGGCTTGTCTCGAACTCCTGACCTCAGGTAATCCGCCCACCCTGGCTTACACCTGACCTTTGAACTTCTCCTTAGACCTCTGCTTTTTGTCCTGGTATGGGTTGGCTCCCTTGGTCACCTCCCTCTACCCCAGGTCACCCCCAACCTTTATCTCCTTGTCTTATGCTTTTGTATGTATTTTTCCTTCTTGGTAAAAACACCAAGTCTTTTAAGGAATAATTAAGGAATCAACATTATGTTAACATATCAGTGAGTCTTCATATTAGTTACAACTGCAACCTGCCTAAGATGACAGGAGAATAAACATCCCAGTCTACAGTGTTCTAAGTGACCTACCCAAGAAGCTCATTTGCCTTATTACTGGAGCTAATGAAACTCTTCCATGTGCTTTCAACTTCTCTCTTTCTGTTATACGTATCTGTCCTGTTGGTGGATATTGTAAGTTGAGGAAATAGGAAAGATTAGATACTTATGTGAGACATACTGCATAGTTTAATTCCTCCAAATGGACCACAGAAAACACAAAAAGTTAATTTTAAATATGGAAAAGTTCATGGAGTCATGGATGTGGTGAGTTCCTTTCTATAAAAACTAACCTTTTTATTTTGAGATACCTGTGGATTCACATGCAGATGAAGACATAATATAGAGGCCAATGCACATGTATCATTTGCCATTTCCTCTGTATTAGTCCATTTTCACACTTCGATAAAGAACTGCCTGAGACTAGGTAATTTATAAAGGAAAGAGGTGGGGTTTTCTTTCTTTTTTTTTTTTCTGAGATGGAGTCTCGCTCTGTTGCCCAGGCTGGAATGCAGTGGCACAATCTTGGCTCACTGCAATCTCCACCTCAGCCTCCCACATAGCTGGGATTCAAGCAATTCTCCTGCCTCAGCCTCCCTAGTAGCTGGGATTACAGACACATGCCACCATACTGGCTAATTTTTGTAATGTTTTTTAGCAGAGATTGGGTTTCATCATGTTGGCCAGGTTGGTCTCAAACTCCTGGCCTCAAGCAATCTGCCCAGCTTGGCCTTACAAAGAGCTGGGTTACAGGTATGAGACACCAGGCCCAGCCAGAAAAGAGGTTTCACTGGCTCACAGTTCAGCAGGGCTGGGTAGGCCTCAGGAAACTTACAATCATGGCAGAAGATAAAGGAGAAGCACAGAAACTTCTCAACAAGGTGGCGGGAAGGAGATGTGCTGAGCGATGGGGAAAGAGCCCCTTACAAAACCATCAGAGCTCGTGAGAACTCACTATCACGAGAACAGCATGGGAGAAACCACCCCCATGATTCAGTTTCCTCCACCTCTTCTCTCCCTTGACCCATGGGGATTCTGAGGATTACAATTCAAGATGAGATTTGGGTGGGGACACAAAGCCAAACCATATCACCTCCAACGATAACATTTCCAAAACCACAGGACAATATGACAATCAGGGTATTAGCCTGGATACAGTCAAGATACAGAACAGTTCCATCACTACAAGTCACTCTCCTGTTGCCCTTTGGGCCACACCCCTTCCCTCCCTTTCCTACTCTCTCCTTCATCCTTGGCAACTACTCATCTGTTCTCTGTATCTATAATTTTGTCAATTCAAGAATGTTTATATTAATGGAATCCTACAATCTGTAAACTTTTGAGATTGGCTCTTTTCACTCAGCGTAATTCTTACATGATTCGTCTAAGTGGCTGACTGTATCAATGGTTTGTTCTTTTTATTGCTAACTAGTATTCCATGTTATAGATGCACTGCATTTTGCTTAACCATCTACCCACTGGAGGACAACTGGATTATTTCTAGTTTGGGGCTATTACAAATAAAGTTGTTATAAATAGTTTGTACAGTATTTTGTGTGAACATAAGTTTCAATTGATCTTTATGGTATAAATATCCAGGAGTGCCGTTGTAGGGAAGTATAATTGCTTGTTGAGTTTTTTTTTAAAAGAAACTCCCAAACTGTCTAGAGTAGCTGTGTCATTGTACATTCCCACTAGCAATGTATAAGTGACTTGATTTTTCTGCATCTGATATAGTTTGGATGTATATCCTTGCCCAAATCTCATGTTGAAATGTAATTCCCAATGTTGGAGGTGGGGCCTGGATGCAACTAACTGAATCATAAGGGCAGTTTCTCATGAATGGTTTAGCACCATCCACTTTGTGCTGTCCTCACAACAGTGAGTTCTCGTGAGATCTGGCCATTTAAAAATGGTGGCACCTCCCTTGCCTCTCTCTTGCTCCTCTTCTGGCCATGTGACACACTTGCTCTCCCTTCGCCTTCTGCCATGATTGTAAGTTTCCTGAGGCCTCTCCAAAAGCCCAGCAGATGCCAGCATCATGTTCCTGTATAGCCTGCAGAACCATGAGCCAATTAAATCTCTTTTCTTTATAAATTACCTGGTCTCAGGTATTTCTTTACAGTAATGTAAGCACAAACTAATACAGCATCCTTGCCAGAATTTGGCATTGCCACTATTTGTTAAACTATTTATGATAATAGGTTTATAATGATATCTAATCATCCTTCAATTTGTATTTTCCAAGTAGCTAACGAGGTTGAACATCTTTCCACGTGCTTACTTGCCATTTGTATACTATCTTTGCTGAAATGTCTCTTCATGACATTTGCCCGTTCTCTAATTGGATTGTTTATGTTCTTACTGTTGAGCTTTAAGAGTTCTTTATATAGTCTAAATGCTAGTCCTTTGTTGGATATGTGGTTTGCAGATATCCCAGTCTATAGCTTATCCTTTTGTTTTCCTGTTAAGGCCTTTCACAGAATAAAAGTTTTTAATTTTTTTGGAGTC